ATCTCCACAACTCATGTCAAAACCAGCGTGAAAAGGGGCATCATAAGCTGAACATTAACATTAGCAGATCTAAGCACTACTGAACCTCCGTTGGTGTGCCACCACAGAGAAGACCCTCTCCCGTGAACCCACCTACCTTTGTTTAGAAGGTGAGGACAAACAGGGGCTGTCCAGAAGATCTTAATAACCAGGCAGGAGCGGGTCACTTCTAAGCATCACTGTCTCTGAACTCATTTGGACACCCCGAAAGTATGTGTGCTGAGGCCGGCAACCTAAGTAACCTGGTCTTAGCCTGATTAGGGCTCTAAAGGATGCTGATTGAGTTGCGGCTGTATTGGGGGGGTTAACAATAGTAATCGTTACAATCAGCTGTCTAACGCAGCAGTCAGTGCCGGACAAGCTTTCGTGGAGTCAACCAACATGGCAGGGAAAGCTCCTTCAGTCAGGGGTTGTGGCCTGTGTTTTGAGAGAGTCCTCCTCTTTGTCTGCAAAGTGTCAAATGCTATGAAATGGATTAAGAGCCGCTGCTGGGCAGGCAGAGAAAAGAAGAGGGAGGAGTGGGAAAGAGGGGGGCGGAAACACCACAGGTGTGGATGCTGAACTTTGGACCAAGGCCTGACTTCTGTGCTTTGCAGGAATCAGTTGTGGAAAGAAGAAAACACATTTCTCCCTCTGCTTTTTGCATCGGGATGTTTGGCACGATTTGAAGGAGGGGGAGCATGAGCACCAGTCCGATCCATGCACAGAGACACGTGGAGCTGCATACAGCTTGTGGGCAGGGGAAGATTCTTCCAGAAATAGGGCAGGGAGAAGCCTAGACGCCTGTGAGACTTTCAGGCTAAGTTAGGGTTGCCAGGTAGGATTGCCAGCTCCAGGCTGGGAAATTCCTGGATATTTGGGGGGGGGGTAGAGCCTGGGGAGGGCAAGGTCTGGGGAGGACAGGCTATAATGCCAGAGTGTTCACCCTCCAGGGGAACTGATCCCTCTAGTCTGGAGATGAGCTGTAATTCTGGGAGATCTCCAGGCCCTACCTGGAGGCTGGCATCCCTAGTCAATGGGACATATTCCCTAGAAATATATGTCACATACACACATACATACATACCCTACTCTGGGTTCCTTAAGCTGTGAAGGGAACGGTGTGAAGCATACTCCTACTGAACTTGGAGAACACCCTTTCTTTTGAGCCCAGTTCCATCCAATTTGTCCTGAAATATCCACCAGTCCCCATAATCTCTTGTAAGCCCCCTTCATGTATACACAAGCCCTTTGCTGAGGGAGGGGACTTCCTTGAAGTGTAGATGCCACAGCAACATGGGCAGTACTGCTTTTGTGGGGTTTTCCACCCAATACTAACCCTTCTTCCAGTGGAATGGTGACCTAGTAGCCCTCATCTATGCAGCAGTCACATGTGTATGATGGTTGTGTGGGATATTGTATAACACATGGTTCAAAATACTTTTAGGGGGAAGGTTGTAGCTCATTCTCCCAGTTTCAACATGTACAGTTCAGCAAAGAGCAGCTCTCAGAATACATTTAATAAATAGAATTTGAGAATGATGTACTTTCTTCAGATTATTTTTAGGTAACGTGGCCCGGATTGGATTTTATGCACTGCTAGTACAAGGAACTGTGGAAGTGGCTTCTTCCCACCCTCTTCTTTCCCCAGCAGCCCCCTGTAAGCCCTGAAAAGGCAGTGCTGGTGGTTGGGAGATCCGTGTGAACAAAAAGCTGTGCAGCATCGTTGGCTGCAGTGAGAAAAATTGCTCCTCCTGTCTCTTCTGCCAGCTGCACATCTACGGCTGGAAGAGACGGGGGGGGGGGGGGGGGGTTGCTTGCTTTTCCTTCCTCACGGCAACTGCCAATGTTGTATGCCTTTTTACCTATGTAGGTTCCCTTACTTTTCAGTGCTCAGCTAACAGTGGAAGGGGAAGGTGAGAAATATTCATCTCTGCTGCTGCTCGTGGATAGGAAGCAGTCCTCTGGCTCATTTCAAACATGACACAAACCAGGGCTATTTTTGGGCAGGAACGCACAGGAACAGAGTTCAGGCTGGCTCCCAAGTTGGCCACGCCCAGCAGGAACTCATTAGCATAATAGGCCACACCCAACAGCAGAAACTCATTAGGATTGGCTACATTAGGTGTGTGTGGCCTAACATGCAAAGGAGTTCCTGCTACAAAAAAAAGCCCTGGGTTTTGACAACAAACAAGGTAAACAGAATAAGAAGCAAAAGTTGAGTGTGTCTGGATAACCACACTTCTGGTAACATGGGGGTGCGGCCTAATGTGCGAATGAGCTGTGCTGTCAGGGGTGTGGCCTAATATGCTAATGAGTTTCTGCTGTTGGGTGTGGCCTATTATGCTAATGAGTTCCTGCTGGGCTTTTTCTACAAAAAGAGCCCTGAATAAACCATGGTCTGAATCAACAAATGTGGTTTGCATCTGCAAATGGTGGTTTCATTATCTTTTTGTAGTAGGCTGGGAAGGTGAAGCCAGTGAATAAACTGGGGATAAACCAGAATAAGCTATAGGATGTTTGTGTTTGTACATCACACAAAACCACGGTTAAGAACTTAAGAAGAGCCCTGCTGGATCAGACCAGTGGTCCATCGAGTCCCGCATCCTGTCTCACACAGTGGCCAACCAGTTGACTGGTGGCTAGTAGCCATGGATAGACCTGTCTTCTGTATAATCCACTGTGCTTAATCAACCAATTTTAGATCCTGGCTTCAGGTTTGACAGGCTCTGTTTTAGTTATGGAGTGACCCATATTCAGACAATCGACTAACTACTAACCGTGGCTTCACATTATGTCTGAACTAAGCCATTGTCTTGGTGCTACATTGCCAGTTGAGTGCTGGGAGCTCCACAGCAGCCAGACGCGATTGCCAGCTTCATCTGGCATAGCTGGGAAACAAACATTGTAGTCAAATTGCTCTTCATTAACAAAGAACAAAGCCCTTTCTCCTGCTCCGAGAGGACAGAATGTTGAGACATGGCTTAAATTATCCAGAATGGTTCTTCAGATAAAATGGAATGCTAATTTACAAGGAAAGGAAAGGTTGAGGATATAATTGTCATGCGAGACCTCACTCCGAGCGGAACATTCTTAGCATTCAGAAGTGTCACGTGGTCCTCTGTGCTCGAGTAAGAATCTAGAGGAAGGGCATCCTGGCTTTTTAGGGAACTGTGTCAAAATAAGTTGTTGCCAACTTTGGACTGACTGGCTAAACTCAGCATGGAGGATGTGATAAAGCTGCTGACTTTATGTTCAGTCATTAATGATCCTGGTTAATAGGTTTTTGCCCTGATCTGGATAGTTCAAGCTAGCCTGATCTCATCAGACCTCAGAAGCTAAGAAGGGTCAGCCCTGGTTAGTACTTGGATGGGAGACCACCAAGGAAGACCAGGATTGCTACTCAGACAAGGCAATGATAAACTACCTTTAAACCTGTCCTGCCCTGAAAACCATACAGGGTCACCATACGTTGGCTGCAACTTGATGGCTAAGAGAATAAATAGGTTTGGCTCTGCAAGAGAGATGGAAAACCGAAGCCCCAAGATGGAGTAAGGTCCTACCTACAATCCCAGTTAAAGGATCCCGGCGTGATTGGGAGGGACCCCCGAAGAATCAATAGTGTAACTCTGTGTATAATGCAACTTCATATTTGGCGTTTCCTACAAGTCAAGTGGCAGCAGAACCTCCAGCTGTGCTCCCTGGTAGGTTGGCCACCCAAGCCACAAATGGCTCAGATTCCCTAAAGGTACTGAATAGAAGTCAGCCATCGCTCCCTCTGAAATATGGTTAGTAGGGATTTTTCAGTGGTTGGGTTTGGCACCAGTGAAATCTTGTCTGAAGTACTTCCTGATTGTGACTAAAGAAGACCTCATTCCTTGGACTTGATTTGTAATGTTTACCCTCTTCGCCTAAGGAACCAGTATGGGACATTGGTAAGGGGGGCAGGCTAAGATCTGGGAGACATGGGTTCAAATCCTTCCTCTGTTATGTAGCTCACTTTGGGCCAGTCATATTCTCTCAACCTAATTCCCCCCACAGGGGCAATAAAATAGAAATTGGAGAGCAGAGAGAATCACCCTGAATTCCTTGGAGGAAGGGTTGGGATAAAAAAAATATACTAGATACTAGCAGTGCTGATTCTGTGAACGCAGATAGATCATGAGAGGGAGGGCAGGAAGGGTTGCATCAGTGCTTAGTTCTTGTGCCCCTTTCTTACACACCCACGGAAATGCTGATCACCACTTTGGGATTAGGAAGCAATTTTTCTCCAGGCCGGTTTGACTGGGGACCCTGGAGGATTTTTTTGTCATCTTCTGGTTGTAGAACAGCAGTCACTAGGGGTGGGGGGTGGGGTATTTGTGAATTTCCTGCATTGTGCAGGGGTTGGAGTAGATGACCCTGGAGACTCCTTCCAACTCTGTGATTATGATTCTAATGCTTATGGTCCAGTCTGAGTTCACAATAACCTCCTGGGCTGACTTTTTTAGCCAATTCTAAACTATAAAAAATAAATGAAATCTACCCTTCATTCTCCTAACCTGCACAAAATTGGAACCCATTCTTTCTGTAAAGAGTGGTAAAGGGAACACTAAAGATCCCCCATGTCTATTGTGATGTGACATGAGGGATTCGGAGATCAAGCCTGGAGCCGTGCGTCACTTACTATTCAGCATTCAGCTGCATTGAACAGAAGAGGCGGTTTGTTCAGAGGGCCGTATGCAACTTGACTTCTTGTGTTTGTTGTTCTCTCTCGTTCGGAACAACGTCCCCCCCAACCAGTAGCAAATGCTGCATATATTAGACTCCGTGAACATAAATGGCCAATTGTTCTGGCTATGTAGGCTGAAGAAATATGGATGGAATTAGGATTGTGACTCAGAGAGCAGATTGATGCAAGTGGCAAGCAGATTATTTTTGAAAGTCTTCTGCTGGGCATTCAGCGAGCGAGGGACTGAAGGAACGGTACTCCCTTCTTGCAGGACGTAGAGTGTGAAGAAAACCCTGTGCAGCAGGACTCTCCAGGTGTCGCTTGCTTGGTCTCAGAGGATCTTGCCCAAGAAGAGGTCAAACCGGAGAACGTGAGAACAGCGGCTGGAACAGACTATAACAACAGCGTCATGAGTTTCTTTAAAACCCTGGTAAGACTTGGCCTTCGATTTTACTCTGTGCAATTGGTGTGGATTGTTTCAGTATCTTTTGGGCAGATGTGGAGGCAAATACAAGGGGGGGAACCACTTCCCGTATTGCAAAACAGAAACCAACACAACTGAGCTGCAGAAATTTGGGTTTGGATATTTTAAGCTGGTGGCCGTGTTCGTCTGCAGTGGAAGAGCTAGATTCAGATCTGGTAGCACCTTACGGACCAACAAGACTTCCAGAGTATAAGCTTTTGAGAGTCAAAGCTCCCTTTGTAAGTTCTGGAGGTGGAATTATGGGTTTGGATGTGGAATTATGAACATTTAAAAAATGCTGGGCTGTATCCTACCGGTCTGCTCAGCTAAATAGCCTCCAGCAGTTTTAATACTGAACATTTTATGGTTTTAGTTTATTTTATAGTGTATTGAATTAACTCTTGTAAACTGCCCTGAGCCCCTTGCAGCGGGAAAGGGTGGTTAAGAAATTTAATTTCATAAATAAATACAAATAAATAGGTTAGGTTTCTTGCACTGGAGAAAGGTGGAGCAGACTACTAGGATACTACCTAGCCTGAGTACCAGGAATTATTAGCTAAAGCAGATAATTATTTGTCTTTAGAGAAGTTTTGAAATGTAACTAAGGTATGGCAAAACATATGCTGATGGTTTTAACGAACTGTGTAAAGCAGGACAAAATCCTCAGCTATTCACAGGATAAATGCTTCCTGATAGGGCACCGCTAAGAGAATTCAATGTTACAGGACAGAATGGTTGTGCTAAATCTAATCAAATAACAGTCCATGGTAACAGGAAATATTACCAAGGCCAGCTACCAACTTTCAGACTCTGTCTTTTAGACTCTTCAATCTTGCTTTCCTATGTACATTCTAGAATGTAATTAAGTCAGCTCAAGAACATGAGAATTGCCTGTCTGGATCAGACCAAGGGTCATCAATTCCAACAATCAGTTGTCAGCAACAGAGAATCCAACCCTATAGGGTTGTTGTGAGGATAAAATGGGGTGGGGGGAGGAATGCTGCATGCTTCCCCAAACTTCCCAGAGGAGTGATGATATTAAAAGTCTGGGCATCTACTGACAGCCTCTGCATAGTTTCTGGTTGGGTTTCTCCTCCATGAATATATTTCACCCATTCTGAGGGCAAACACTCATAATCTGTCTGTGATCTGTCAAATCTGTTCTTGCAGAAGGCTTCATGGGCCCCCACCTAGGTAACTTGCCTTAGCTCTGAGCTGTCATTGCAGCTAGTATATTCTTCCTTGGGTTCAAGGGTCTACCTATAGGTTCCAGAATGTCACAGTTGCCCTGGTCCTGGTTGATTGGATGTGGGCTGGAAATTCCTTGCTTTGAACTTAATTCCTAGGCATATCCAGTTCAGATAGGGACCATGACATGCAAGTGTTGCTATTGGGGAACTGCTGTTTGACCCACTGGGGAAACTTACATGTAGCCTATCAGTGTTTCTCCAACGAGGGAAACAGTGGATCCCTGGGAGTGTTTCAAGTAGGAAAAAAGCACAGAAGTTCCCTCTCCCTGTAGACCACGGTCCCAATCCAAATTTGGCCAGTGCATACCTGGGAATTAAATTCTGAGCATGGAACTCCCAGGTTATATGTGGTCAATAGGTCTACAGCAAGTATGGGTGGAAATGCATAGGAGGAAGATGTCACATACAGAGAGCAATCCTAAGATTTGCTGAGAATCCTACTCGAGCCTGTTCAGTGGGGCTTACTCCCAGGAAAGGGTTCTTAGGATGGCACTGATAGTTATACCCTAACTTTGTTTAACCGCTCATACCCTCCCTTTCATTTTGGCTCAAGGGGCCTTATAAAAAGAACATTTCAAATTAAAACAAAATAGAAAAAAATCATGAATACTTCTCTACTCCCCTAAACGATGCCCGCTGTTCATACCACATCAGAAGCCCTGGCAAACAGACAAGACTTGCAGTGCCTCTGGAAGATCTTCAGGTGTGTGTGTGGGGGTCCCCTAATGTTTTCAATGAGCCCATTCCACAGAGAGGGAACCACAATAGAAAATGCCCAGGTTCTGATTGATGCCAGGCGGGCATCAGCCAGCAGATGGCAGCCTGAAAAATCACAGCTGGCCCACAGGAACATTCCGGAGAAGACATCTATCTCTCTGCTTGGTCCTTTTCCTATCCTCAGTGCCTATCCTTAGTTTTAACCTATGTTTTCACTTATGACCCTAGATAGACAATTCTTCTTCACACATTTTCATTTCTTTGATTATGCACATTCCATGGATTGTATTTTTCTTCTTGAATTCTAAGGTTTCTCCAAGTAAAGCAGATTCTAAGAGTGAGTCAGAGGACAAGGTGAGTATCTTGCTAATTTCTGTCTAATCTGGATTAATGTGCATTTAGTGTTAGTTCATGCATATCTATCAACTAAATATGGATTCAGGTGGGTAGCCATGTTGGTCTGAAGCAGTACAACAGAGTTTGAGTCCAGTGGCATCTTTAAGACCAACAAAGTTTTATCCAAAGTGTAAGCTTTCGTGTGCAGAGCACACTTCTTCAGACAAGAAGTGTGCTTTGCACACGAAAGCATAAACTTTGAATAAAACTTTGTTGATCTTAAAGGTGCCATTGGACTCAAACTTCGTTCAACTGCATATGGGAACTGTCTCCGCTGAAAATAATTGCATTTAAGTAGATATCATGTGATACAAAAGTTCTGTTTGTGGCATCAGATTTGTGATTTATTTATTATCATTTCATTTGTTGTACTTCTATCTACTCTTTCCTCCAAGGAGCTCTGGATAGTCCTGAGTCTCCTCAATCAGACATATGATTGGCTCATTAACACTTGCTGGTCATTCAAGTGATCACCATACACATGGAAAGCAGCCCATATGCATCAAACTCCTTCCCAGACATTATGCGTACACTGTTCTGAGCCCTTTGGAGGAATGGTGGGATAAAAATGTAATGAATAAATTGAAATACCTGGCGGCAGACCTGAGCTTTTTTTAGGGTTTTAAGGCTACACTAGACATGATGGGTGGGATCTTTCTGGCTTTTGGTATTCTATGGACAAACATTGCTGACTCTCAAGTAGGGCTGCCAACCTCCAGGTGGGGGCTGGACATTTCCTGATATTAAAAGTTGATTTCCAGACTACAGAGATCAGTTCCCCTGGAGAAAATGGCTGCTTTGGAGGGTGGACTCTATGGCATTCTTCTTGATTTTGGTTCAGTTTGAAGGTTGCACATCTTTCAAAAAATGGATGCGTGTGGATCCATGGGAGGCCCTACGCTCACTTGGATTGCCAACCCCTAGGTGGGGCCTGGAGATCTCCCAGAATTGCAATTGATCTTCAGACTAGAAAGATCTGTTCCCCTGGAGAAAATGGCTACTTTGGAAGGTGGACTGAATGGCTGAGGTTCCTCCCCAGACCCAGGCCTCCCTAGGCTCCACCCCCAAATAGGCAGAAATTTTCCAACCTAGAGTTGGCAACCTTAGCACTCATGCAAACTTCCTCTGGCCTTGTTCTTTAATTATAAATTTCCATGTAAGGAATCACATAGTTTGGCATCACTTTCCACATACTTAGCATGCCTTTAGATAGACAAAACAGCCAAACTTCCAAACACACTATCCTATTTATTGCATGTATTCATGCACTAAAATTATTGGGGGGGCCCTACATTAACTGGAAGGATATTTTTTTTAAATGTAGCTCTAGATCAGGGATGGAGAGCTGCTATCCTTCTGATCGGTTATGGCTACTGGGGCAATTACTTGGCCTCTGGTGATCCAACTATAAAAGTTTCAAGTTTTGTGAAATACGCTGTATACTGAAATGTTATGGCTCTTTTGGATTTCACATGAAATATCTAAATGTACATATTTTACATATAGTGCTTTCTCATGCCAATTTTGTTAAAAAGCTGACCATTCCTGCCCCTGGGCCACTTTGTATAGAATATCATGGCCTGGGAGACTATTGAAGCTCGACATCCTTTGGAAATTATTAAAAAGGAAGATAAACAGGCTCCAAAAGAATGTTCCAACCAACATATGTTGTGGCTGTGCTCTGCACAAAAATTATTTTGCCTGTCTTTCTTGAATTATCCAGCTGTGTTTGCATTCAAAGCAAACCAAACCCATATAGCATATTTGCTTCCAAGTAATCTAGTCCTACCTGTGCCAAGTTCCCATTGATTTTAGTATTAGAAATGCAGAGTAAGAAGACAAGATCCTTTTCTAAAGTCAGTGTGTTTACCATCTACTCAGTCCCACAGAATAAACAACAGCCAGTGTGGGTCAAGTCCAGGCTGCTGTAGGTTGGACATCATTGTCGTACTAGGAAATCACTGACTAAACAAAAATCCTTGTGGATTGTTGACATGTGGACAGTGCAGGACCTAAGAGTAATTGATGAAAGTTGCAGAGTCCTCCATTACTGATGGGCCATTTGAGAACAGGGTTTACACATATGGAGCTACCTTGTACTGAGTCAGACCATGGGTCCATCAAGGTCAGTATTGTCTACTCAAACTGGCAGCGGCTCTCCAGGGCCTTACACTGAGGTCTTTCACATCACCAACTGCCTGGTCCTTTTAACTGGAGATGCTGGAGACTGAACCTGGGTCCTTCTGCATGCCAAGCAGAGGCTCTACCACTGAGCCACAGCCCCTCCCCTGATGCTCTACAACTGAGCCACAGCTATAGGGGGGGAAACTCTGCTAGCCCAGCCACAGCTGCCTTCATAGCCCTCTTCTCTCCTGGTTTTGCAATGAAGCATCAGAAAGGATTACTCAGGGGGTCAGATCTGTCCAAGGTGCCGTAAGTCGATGACCCCTGTCTTAGAAGAAATTCAGTAGGGTTTCTCATTCTCCAGGCTTCTCAGCAGGGCCTGAAGTTCCTTCTGTTGGAGGAGCTGACCTCTCAACTGTTATATGTCAGTGAGATTGGTCCCCTTCTTAGCAAACAGCATTGCGCACTGTAAGAATGAAAATGTTGACTTGGATTCATTTGGTAGTTCTGCATGTTCCAAGTGTTGCCTTCACAGTAACCCAGAGGTCACTGCTAATCCCATTTCTAAGGAAAGGAACTGGGACTACAAGAGAGTAAAACATTTCTATTTTATCCATAACTGAGCAAAGAGCTGAACATGTTCTCCAGGTTGAGATCCAACCTACTGTCCATTAGGTTATACTCATTTATATTATTTTGGGAACTGGTAATGCCTTAATTTTTCCTTTGTTTCCGAATCCTCTTGAAGTAAGTGGGATTGCAGCAGTGCATCGGTTTCCTGGCCTCCGCAAAGAGTTTATCAGGTTTGGTTAATCAGATGAGGAATACTGGCAGACTCAAGGCAGGTGGACGATAAATGCAGCAAATAAATGAATAATGGCAGAAATGCTTCCTTCAAAGACAGCTAATTACTGATGACACTTTGAACTGTGCAGCCATAGGGCAGTGTTGGGTGTGGATCAGGTTGGGATAGTGTTGTTGGGTGTGGATCAGTTTATGAAGAGCAGTGAGGTCCAACAGGTAATGCTTGCCCAAGAAGGGGGCTCCATCTCACAGGCATCAAAAGAAAAGAGCAAGCGCCCACTAGCACTGAAAAGACTAACAAAATATGTGGCAGGGGATGAGCTTTCGTGAGTCACTGCTCACTTCTTCAGACTCATGAAAGCTCATACCCTGTCATGCCACATGTTTTGTTAGTCTTTAGGGTGCTACTGGACTCTTGCTCTTTTCTACTGCTACAGACAGACTAACACGGCTACCCATTTTGAGGCATCAAAAGGTTTGGGTCAGGACCTGCCAAGAAGTGCTGAGAATGAGAAACCCTACTGGGTTTCTTCTAACATAGGCAATGGTCTGCAGAATCTGAGCATGTGTCCTAAATCTTGTCCCCAAATCCTCTGCAATGCTCAAGCATTTCTCAGCAGATGAAGTTGGAAAGCGTTGTTCTGTGCAGAAAAGGGGGGGAGTGGCTTCATGACTCTCACAAAGGGGGGAGTGGCTTCATGACTCTCACAAAGCCCGGCCAATCAGCAGAGTGTTTGCAAAGCACGCCAGCAGTATATAACAATGGAAATTGTACCAAGCTGTTAAAGATACGAAGCTGCCTTGTACTGAGTCAGGTCATTGGTCCATCTTCTCTGACTGGCAGCAGCTGTATCCAATACTCTTTCTAAGACCCTTTCCAATACTTGCTACTTGGAAGACAGGTTCAGAGGGTCACCATGCTGGTCTGTAGTCAAAGAGCTAGATTTGACTCTAGTACCACCTTCGAGACCGACAAGTCAAAGCTCCCTTTGTCAGATACGTTCTGACAATAAGACCTGTGACTCTCGAAAGCTTATGCCATGAAAATCCTGTTGGTCTCTAAGGTGCTCGTGGACTCGAATCTTGCTCCCTGGAGATACCAAAGTCTGTATCTGAGCCCCCCGCGCGTGCAAATCGCTGAGCCAGAGCCCCACTTTAAACAATGTACCTTAAGGCATTTTAAAATAAACGGATAGACAACTTAAAAACTGAAAAATCACCAGGCCCAGATGGCATACATCCGAGAGTTCTGAAAGAACTCAAATGTGAACTTGTAGATCTCCTGACAAAGATATGTAATCTTTCCTTAAAATCTGCCTCCATTCCTGAGGATTGGAAGGTAGCTAATGTCACTCCCATCTTTAAAAAGGGTTCCAGAGGAGATCCGGGAAATTACAGGCCAGTCAGTCTGACGTCGATACCGGGTAAATTGGTGGAAACCATTATTAAGGAAAGAATTAGTAGGCACATAGATGAACAAAACCTATTGAGGCAGACTCAGCACGGTTTCTGTAAGGGAAGATCTTGTCTCACTAACCTGTTAGTGTTCTTTGAGGGGGTGAACAAACATGTGGACAAGGGGGATCCAATAGATATTATTTACCTTGACTTCCAGAAAGCTTTTGATAAAGTTCCTCATCAAAGGCTCCTAAGTAAGCTCAAAAACCATGGGATAGAAGGACAAGTCCTTTTATGGATCAAAAACTGGCTAGTTCATAGAAAACAGAGAGTGAGTGTAGGTGGGCAATTTTCTCAGTGGAGGGTGGTAAGCAGTGGGGTACCGCAGGGATCAGTACTTGGTCCACTGCTTTTTAACTTGTTCATTAATGATTTGGAGATGGGAGTAAGCAGTGAAGTGGCTAAATTTGCGGATGATACAAAGTTGTTCAGGGTGGTGAAAACCAGTGAGGATTGTGAGGCACTCCAAGGGGATCTGTCAAGGATGGGCGAGTGGGCGTCAACATGGCAAATGGGGTTCAATGTGGCCAAGTGCAAGGTGATGCACATTGGAGCCAAAAATCCTAAATATAAATACACATTGATGGGGTCTGAACTGGCAGAGACTGAGCAAGAGAGAGATCTTGGAGTTGTAGTGGATAACTCACTGAAAATGTCGAGACAGTGTGTGACTGCAATAAAGAAGGCCAATGCTATGCTGGGGATTATTAGGAAGGGTATTGAAAACAGATCAGCCAATATAATAATGCCCCTATATAAATCAATGGTGAGACCTCATTTGGAATACTGTGTGCAGTTCTGGGCACCACACCTTAAAAAGGATATTATAGCTTTGGGAAAAGTGCAGAAAAGGGCAACTCGAATGATAAAAGGGTTGGAACACTTTCCCTATGAGGAAAGGTTAAAGCGCTTAGGGCTCTTTAGCTTGGAGAAAAGACGACTGAGGGGTGACATGATCGAGGTTTATAAGATTATGCATGGGAAAGAGCAGGTAAAGAAAGAGGTACTTTTCTCCCTTTCTCACAATACAAGAACTCGTGGGCACTCCATGAAACTGCAGAGCGGTCGGGTTAGAACGGATAAAAGGAAGTACTTCTTCACCCAAAGAGTGATTAACACATGGAATTCACTGCCACAGGAAGTGGTGGGTGCTACAAGCATGGACGGCTTCAAAAGGGAATTAGATAAGCATATGGAGCAGAGGTCCATCAGTGGCTATTAGCCACAAGGTATAGCTAGGGGCTCTGGGGCAAGTGATGCTCTGTCTTCTTGGTGCTTGGGGGGGGTCAACAGTGGGAGGGCTTCTAATGTCCTGGCCCCACTGCTGGACCTCCTGATGGCACTGGTATTTTTGGCCACTGTGTGACACAGAGTGTTGGACTGGATGGGCCTTTGGCCTGATCCAACATTGGCGTCTCTTATGTTCTTATGATGGTTATCAAAGCAGTAAAATACAGAATTATCTACAGTGAGGCATTGTCTGTGGATGCAATACCATGTTATAATAATGTCGCTGATGTATATGGTGAGCAAAGGGAGAATGGAGCTCGTAACGGAGACTCAACTTTGAATGGTTTCGCACAAAGGCAACCCAAGCAGGCAAGACCCAAGGAGGACAGCTTGCTGAGAAGACGACGGCCGATTCCCATGCCAAAGGCACCAAGAAAAAGAAAACAGACAGCCCCAGATTAGGACACAGTACATTTAGCAAACTGTTCAGGCACAAGGTCGGTACTGGAGAATAACAACAAAGAGAACCCTGAATTGCAACAGATGAGTCTTGGTTAAACACACAAGATGAAACGCTGCTTCTATCAGACACTTCATCATCAAGGGCAAAATCCTGGCAGGTGTCTTGGTTCAAAAGCAGATCCTGATGGGGAAGGGAAGGGAAGTGTCTCGAGCGTTTCGGAAGTCTGGGAATTGATAACATCTGTGAATTCAGGGTTCGGTAAAAATGAAAACCCTCCGAACACACCATCCTAACCATTTCCCGTGTCATCGCATGTCCCTTTTTGCTAACAACATGTGTGTTCCCCTTAACTAGAACTCAGATCTGACAAACAATGAAGAATGAAATAGCAATGCTTGGCATTTATATCTTGTGTCTCAAGTCATAAGGTGTAACGTTCCAAAAATGTAGACCTTTCCAAACTGTTCTAAAGGGTGTAGAATGAATGCGGGTGGGGGGATTATGACAACAAACTCTGCCCCAAACCCACATGTGTCAGTGGGCAGGCATGTACAGAACCTGCACATGTACAAGCGTGTATTCATAGGTCTCTGGTCATGCAATTAGGAATACTGAAAATGCGATGTTCCTGACCACAGGGACAGCAATGTACCCACATGTATGTGTTCATTCATAGATTGTACACATAGGTGTACAATGGATTTGAATAGCTTTATTTATATTTATTCAGGCTGGGGGTGGAGCTACCTGTCACAGTTCCACTCCTCAGGCCGCATGCATGTTTTATTGGATAAACATATGGAGAAGAGGTCCATCAGTGGCTATTAGCCACAAGGTATAGATGGAACGCTATGTCTGAGGCAGTGATGCTTTGTCTTCTTGATGCTGGGGGGGGGGCAACAGTGGGAGGGCTTCTGAAATTCTGGTCCTGCTGGTGGACCTCCTGGTGGCAACTGGGTTTTGGCCACTGTGTGACAGAGTGTTGGACTGGATGGGCCATTGGCCTGATCCAACATGGCTTCTCTTATGTTCTTATTCACTTAGAATATCTGAAAAGGGGTTATATCATGAAATGAAAATCAGCTTCCATGTATATGAAGCATAACTTTTCTTCACATTCCCCAGTTAGGTATATAGTGGGGACATTTCCCCCCTCCATCCAGTGCCTTTTAAAAGATCCTTTCACAAAGCAATCAGAAGCCATACCTTTCCATATCCATCTGTGCTGTTCATAGTTTAGATCCCACATTACAGGGAAAACACTATCAAAAGCTCGTCGGGACCCACAGCCCCTCCCACCCAACTGCCAGCCCGGGATGGAGCCAATGGGGCTGCTGGCAGGTGGAGAAGTCACTTTGAGTAAGCCCCACTTGGGGAAGGGGTGGCGGCAGTCAGGGCCTCTGAGAGGGGGGCCCAGCAGGGCCATTTGGCCCGGGCCTCATATTCTTGGGGGGGGGGCCCTCAAATTTACACTTTTGATGTTAACTCTTTATTTGGTTATAGTTACAGGCACAGAAATACTAGCCTTCCCAACCTCCCGTTTTCGGCAGGAGGGGCTAAAAATGGAAGTGGCCTGGGCCTCTCTTTAGCTCTGTGAGGGCCTGGCAGGCCTGGGTCCTCTGGGTGACCCAGAGAGTCGGGGGGCAGGGCTGGAGGGGAACTCGTGGGGCCTTGGCAGGAAGTTGGGGAGGCAGGCCTCAAAAGGCCCCACTGTCGCGACAGACGTGTGGTCAAGATTCAAATCTATACTTCGCCTTTCTCACTGAGACTTGAGGCAGATTACAGAAAATGAGCAAACAGCAACCAGAATTAGATTGACCTTATTGTATAATTACTTGCTCTTCATGGAGCACAACAGCGGCACCACTGCCCAGCCCAAGTAGAACCAGAACTGGATCTAGAGCGGAAGATCCTCTACTAGCGCTTGCGGAAATGGGATTGTCATTTGGACAGTTCCAGAGTAGAGCAGAGGCACTTGTCTTACTGCAACAGTAGTGTGTCTTGCAGTGAGGATCCTGGTTTTTCTGGCTTTGAGATAGAGATGTGTGGCTGTGGCCATGTACCTGCTGGCCACTGGTTTGGCACCCTCTCTCGCCCCCTGCTCTTCCCCACAGTCAGTTCTGGGGGTGCTGATCCCCTGTTGAGAGTGTATTGCCACACCATTGTGGAGTAAACCATTTTGGGTCCTCTCTGCTCTGTCTCAAAGCTGAAACAAATATCAGTTGTCCCTTGAGTTTCCAGCCTCCAGCGGCACCAGGAGATCTCCCACTATTAAAATTGATCTCCAGCCAACCAAAATCAGCTCCCCTGGAGAAAATGGCTGCTTTATAGGGTGGACTCTGTGGTATTATGCCCCTGCTGAGGTCCCTCCCCTCCCTAGGCTCCACCCCCAAAATCTCCAGGTATTTCCCAGCCCAGAGCTGGCAACCCTAGTTATCCCATGATCCGTTACATCCCATAAGAGAATATGAATGATGCTGTTTTTAAAGAAAAGATACTCTGCCTGTTTCTACCGAGGGGGAGTAAGTAGTTACCCTGTACTCCTCTGCTTAGGCTGTCTCTCACTAGCAGTTTGAAGGAAACTTCAGAAACTGCTCCTGTACCTTCCAGCAATAATTTAACATTCTGATCACTTGCGAACAGTACAGGGGTAGGAGTCAGGACCAATGCTCCCTCTAAGCTGTGGAGTCTTGTAAGCAAAAATTCTACTTTGTGAGCTACTGGCATTAAAGTTGTGAGCAAGCGATTGGCTACTGCATAAATCAGTTTGCTCTGGAGCCCTCCTCCCTGAGCGAAGACAAAAATGTGTGAGCCGGAAGCTAAAAAACTGTGAGCTACCTCACACTAACTCAGCTTAGAGGGAACACTGGAGTCCACTAAGTGTTGATTTACAGGTGTGAATTCGTGAACTGCATATGGTTTGCAGGTATAAAATCTATTCAGATCTAAGAACATAAGTATCCTGCCAGTTCAGACCAGGGTACATCTGTTCCAGTACTTTCCCCCCCACAGTGGCAAACCAGACACCCCCACATATAGGGCACTTAAGGTAAAGGCTTTCCCAACTGTTGTCCCTACTGCCAATATCCAAGGTATATTACTTCTGAACATGGAGGTTCCAACTAGCCATCATGGCTACTAGCTGTTGATAGACTTATTCTCTAAACAATTCCAGCAGTATACCAATAGTAAAATGCACTTGCTTGATTTTTGCAAAATTTGTTCTGGTAGGCGTTCTAGACTTCTTGAATATAACGCCATCGACGTATTCTTAAATTTGCCCATCGCTCAATAGTTTGACCCACTGATGATTAGGGGGCCAGAGGGAAAGAATGGCAGCATTGTATCCATTACAAGAATGTGTAAGGACAAAGACCCTTGAGACGCAGATAGCAAACATTAACCTCATGCGAAAATTCCAGTTCGACACCCACATGGAATTTTTTGTGAGTAGGGGGCTTGTGTAATAAAGTTCATTCATTTGTAGTGGAATGTCAGTGGAAAAGACACTTAGGGGGATCTTGTAAAACTGTGTTATATTTGATATTATTTTTATAAAGGGGGGGGGAAATCACACGTCTTGCTAAAAAGGCTAAGTTTTACCTTTAGCACAATTGTTGTGAGCACCAGACCCTGTTTGGGGACAATTTTAAGACAGCAGCCCTAATCATGTTGAACAGGACAGGATGTCAGCTAGTATGTGTTCCCAGTGTAAACAGGCCAGCCAGTTCCATCTGGAAGGCTGAACAAACAAGACAGAGAAGCAACATCTTCCCACCACATGTGTCTTTCCAGCCTCTGCAGAGCATTCCCTACCACTGAAGTGGGTGAAGCAGCCTCCTCTCATGCAGAGCTTTGTGTGTACCATACCCAACTTAACACTGGCATGGATGGAGTAGCCTCTGTTCATGTGGAGCTCTATGTATGCTGCACCAAACTTAACACTGAGGTGAGTGGAGCAGCCTCTGCTCACACAGAGCTTCATGTGTGCCATACCTAACTTAGCAATGTAGTGAGTAGAGTAGCCTCTGCTCATGTGGAGCTCCATATGTGCCATGCCAAACTTAACATTGGTATAAGTGGAGCAGCCTCTACTCATGTGGAGCTCCATGCGTACCACACCTAACTTAACACTGGGGTGAGTAGAGTAGCATCTGCTCATATGGCACTCCATGTGTGCCATACCAAACTTAACGCTGGAGTGAGTGGAGCAGCCTCTGCTCGTGCAGAGCTCCATAAAGCAGATCTTTATCAATAGACAAATGTAAAGACTGAAGCTTGACTCTGGAGATCACTTCAGTCGTCACAGGATGCAGGAGTGAGCACAAATGGTGCGCGACTCACATTTCCTGTTTTCTGTGCTTCTTTCCCAAGTCCCTACTTATTTATTCTCTTAAAAGATTTATTCTCTACCTTTCCATTTTCCGGAAAGAATTGGAAAGCAGTTTACAATATTTAAAAAAAAATTAAATCGGTGCATCATTTTTTAAAAAAGAAGTAGAGAAAAGCAACATAGCCAGGCAGAACACAAGGACAATTAATCGCTGGTTGTCCCAAATGCTTTTTCAAACTACCAAATTTAACCTGTCACCCATTCAGAACATTCCTGAGATCAGCGAAGGCTCCCTGGGAAGGGAAATGTTACATTATAGGTGCCACAATGCAAAAGGCTCTGTCTCATGTGCCCGTTCCCTGTATATCCCCATGATGGAGAAATAGGGTGGATGGGGAACAGGAACTACCAGTCGCTTGTCCTACTTGTAACTTCATAAGTCATCTTTATTCTATTCTGTTTTTCACAAGAAAGCATTGTTTTTCAGGTCTTTTTGTTAAATACTAACTTCAAACAAAACCAATATTTTTTCCCTTCTAAAAAAACCTAATTTTCTCATCAATTAATCATGGATGCCAGTAGCTGGATAAAGGTTTATTGCTGTATTTGAATTGCAGGAGAAGTAAAATATTTCTGGATGGGATATTTGTGTGTAAAAATTTGTGTGTACATGTCTTCATTTCCAAAATATTAATATTCAAGTGGGAGACCCACAAGGGAGAGAAATTTCCTCCCCTTTCTCTATTTCACTCTGTTTTCCCTGCCTCCGATCCAACGCTGCTTCCCTCCTCACCTCCAGTATTCCAGCTGTCCACCCGTTCTCTCACCTCAACTCCTTGAAACTACCAAGACCTCATAAGATCTTGTTCAGCCATTTTAGTTTGCAGAGGCAACTACTGACCACATCAGTGATGTGATTGCTGTCACAATCTTGTGAGCTAGTCTCACAAGGTCTTGGCAACCATCAATTTCTTTGTTTTGTTTTTTTCTATCTTTTTGCTAAATTCAAGATTTTTCTGCAAACCTGTGGGCTCATCCTCATGCAGAAACATCTACTCTAGCCATGAGTGGTCCAATTGTGCATATTTTTCGATCCACACATTAGGGCCAAATTAAATATATGATGTCAAATTTCATTAAATATCTGGGATTTGAAGTCATGTCATCAGGATGCAATCCGTTTTGGTATTTGCATGTTGCTTTTTACCCAAAGACAATCATCCTTGAAGAACTGTCCACAACAAAGTCCCGTTGAGAGCAATGGATTCCCTCTCTCCCACTGCACACCCCAGCCTTGCCCATCTGTGCTATTCCTGAGGGCTCACTGTCCCCCCAGGGACAATATTTCAGGGAGCAGAGTGGTCTGCAGTGGGGGGGGGCAGGCAAGAAAAGATTGTTCTGTTGTTGGAGCTACACAGGCAGTACCTGTGTTGGTTTTTTTGTAAGCTGGGTTTAAAGCTTCATCAACTGAGGCTTCCACTGATGGAGAAAGCCTTTAATCAACACCAACAACGAAAGACTTTCTGTGTTACAGGAAGACTTTGTAAAAGAGAAGAGTCATGTTTCAGTGCTTTGACTTTAATTCTCAAAACGGTAATTTGGGACCTACTGATTAGAATCATAGAGCTGGAAGGGACCTCCGGGGTCATGTAGTCCAACTCCTGCTCAGTGCAGGAAATTCACAAATACTCCCCCCACACACACACGCACCCAGTGACCCCTCTTCCATGCCCAGAAGATGGCATAAACCCCCCTCCAGGATCCCTGGCCAAGCTGGCCTGGAGAAAAATTGCTGCCTGACCCCAAAGTGGTGATCAGCATTTCCCTGGGTGTGTAAGAAAGGACCACGAGAACTAAGCACTGATGCAACCCTTCTCACCCTCCTTCTCATGATCTGCCTAAGTTAGTCATGGAAACATGAGTCTCGTGCTTGAAGAGATCTGGGAGGACTATGAGACAACAGCATGGCTCACAACTTAGGGCTGATAGAGCAGAAGAGGCTGAGTATACAGCCTAGCTCTTCAACGAGTTACGTTCTGAACGGTTATGAACAGAACTCAGTTCCAGGTCAGCATTGTCCTGGATCACAGCCTAAGGATTTGAGCATACGGGTGAAATTGCAGTTTGTTCATAGCAAATCGCTTGTGTGAGGAGGAGCTACTATGAGCAATTCTGGGACATTTTTGGTATCACACCCTCCTGGCTTGTGGTAGTAATTCCCACAAAGTCACTGTGGCATTATATCACTTTCTAATGTGTCCTGTGGAGTGGTGGCCGTCAACTCAGTCATGTGCCTGAGATTATTAGCAATGTACGTTTGAAGACATAAAGAGTGGCATCATAAGGTAATCATTGGTTATAATAAATAATGTTGTAGGAAACTCTTTCCAAAGGGTAGAAGTCATTTAACGCAATGATTTTCTTTACCATCCTTAAAAAACTAGGACAGCACATGAATTTCTATTAGTGGCTGAAGCAATGGATTCATCAGACAGTAATGTGTGTTGCGTACTAACCATTTGTATGAATGCTCCATCTCATCTCCTAATTCACTTTCCCAGAAAACCTAAATGTATGTGGCTCACCATGTTAGCCACCAGGCAAAATGCATGAAGCTGCACTGTATAATGGATTCTTGAAGGTAACGAAGACCACAAACACCACTTGCCAGTACAGAGTAGTGGTTTACCAGTGACTTGACTTTGTGTTTGTTTTCTCTATTTCAGTCAAAGAAAGATGTCCAGCAAACAGCCAATACCAAAGTGAGTAACACTGTTGAACAGCACTCATGTGTGCCCTGCTTTCCAATTGCAAGTAAGGTTACTATGCTTTTCAGATTTATGGTCCAAGTGGCCAGAATTCAATTACCATGAGACTTTCATCATTGCCATAAGCCTGTCTTATTTACCTCTGACGTTTCTGAGGATGAATGCATAGACCAGCATAAGATACAGTGGTACAGTTTCTTCCTTCCTTTCACATGCGAGCAGCCTGATTAGCTGGCCCGTAGCTAACATGGGGCCCACGGGGCCTGGCCCCCTTGTGTTTCTTCTGGGCCCCCTCCCTCCCGGGCTGCCCCCAAAGTGCTCCAACTTACTACCTGCATTGTACTTTCATTTAATTAGCTGGTGGGGCCCCTGACGCCCCCTCCCCCAAAATTCCCTAGCTACGGGGCTGCTGATTAGCCTAGTTTGGCCTGAGCTTGTCAGGGCTTGAGAGCTACGTACGGTCAGCCAGGGTCAATACTTGGATGGGAGACCACCAAGGAATACTGGGGTTGCTACATGGAGGAAGGCAATGACAAACTGCCTCAGCTCATCTCATGCCTGGAACGCCCCATGGAAGGGGTCACCATAAGTCAGTTGCAACTTGATGGCACATTGTTCTTCTTTATCATCACATGTAGGATCTTTCCCATTGGCAATGTGGAAAATTGTTCACCTTGTATTTGGTCCTACAAATTCTTGTTATTGCATGCTTCTAGAGTACTGAGCAGGCTGTAACCACGGATAATGTGAAATCAGAAGCAAACATCCCTCCATCTCAGGAAACGCCGGCAACAAAGCAGAGTACAAAAGCCCCGGAACCTCCAGTCCAACAGCAGGCACCCCCAGCACCAGCCGTCATCATCAATGAAATCCCAAAAGAGGTGACGAAGGAGAGATCTGCTTCTACCCCCACACCTCTAAGTAAATTCTTTTGGAAAAAGGTATGTGTGGATACTAGATATGATATACTAGGGAAAAGGCCCGTTGTGGAAATAAATACAACGAGATCTAATTGAGTGATCTCCAGCCCTCACCTGGAGATTGGCAATGATGGTTCCCCAGAAGGGAATAGTTGGTTTGGAGGGTGGAGTCTATGGCTTTGTACCTGTCCGAGGTCCCACACCTCCTGAAACCTCACCCTCTCCATGCGCCATCCCTGGAGTTGGCAACCCTATCTCCTGCCCAGCCAATCATCAACCTACCTTTATTTCCCCCTCACTCTTCAGCTTTCCACCCCCACACACACACACCTGCAGCCTCTCCTGTGCTCTGAAGCCCTGACTGCTACGTCACATTGGTCATACGGGGGCCACCTCAGCAGCATATAAGGATACAGAGCCCACCATTTTCTCCAGGGGAACTGATCTCTGCCATCTGGAAAGCAGTTGTAATTCTGAGTGATCTCCAGCCCTCACCTGGAGATTGGACACATTTTACCTCAGAACAGCAAACTGTTTAGAATGTTAGAGGCAAAAGCCAATCAAGTCGCATATGCAAACGACCTCTGTGTTCCGAGGCAAAGGCCAATGAGGCTGCATATGCAAATAACCTCTGTGTTCTGACTGGCTATGGGGGGGAGAGGAACAGCAAACTGTTTAGAATGTTGGAGGCGAGACTCAAGCAATGCAGCCAGTGGATAGGGACAGATTCTGAGTGACACACCAGGGCACCAACCAATTCTGGAGCGTGTGGAATGTTCTAGAGAAGTGCCACCACCATTCGGCTTTTATTTATAAGGGAGATATGCATTGCATTCATTTATACCTCACATTTCCAGGCAGGGATTCCCTAGGCGGAGAAGAATAGTGAATTGTAAAATATATAGGGCTTTTCCACATTCTCATTTTCCTCACTTGTAAACTCCTGCTTCTGGGGGGAGGGGAGGGGGGTTCTTCATGTGTTTTGCTCCCTCTAGTGGTCGATTTGATATTACACTGGCTTATGTCCAATGTATCTCCCTGCAGATTTAAACTGCAGGTTTTTAGGCTGGACATAAACAAGTATACCAAATCAATCACTAGAGGGAGCAAAACACATGCAGAACCCAGGAGGTACCTGCACATCCTCATAAAATGCTTCCTCAGATATCCTGGCCCCACACCGTAAAGGGATTTAAAATAAGAACCAGCAACTTGAATAATAGCCCAGAAGCAATCAGTGGGTCTCATACAAAATTAGCATTTTATGTTTCCTATGTGTGGACCAGAATTCAGTCTCGTTGCCTTATTATGGGTTAGTTAAACATTCTGTACAGTCTTCAAGGGTAGTAGCCTTGTGCAGATCACACTAGAATCAAGAAGAAGAAGAAGAAGAAGAAGAAGAAGAAGAAGAAGAAGAAGAAGAAGAAGAAGAAGAAGAAGAAGAAGAAGAAGAAGAAATTGGATTTATATCCCACCACTACCTGAAGGAGTCTCAGAGTGCCTTACAATCCCTTTCCCTCCCCTCCCCACAACAGACACCTTATGAGGTAGGTGTGGCTGAGAGAGACCTTGAGAGAACAGCTCTGAAAGAATTTATGACTGACCCAAGGTCACTCCAGCAGCTGCATGTGGAGGAGTGGGGAATCAAACCCAGATCTCTCAAATTAGAGTCCATGTTCTTAACCACTACACCAAACTGGTGCAGAAACTGGTACTCATTTTCCTTTCGTGATATTCTGCATTAGTCCAAAACTGAGAAGATTCTTGGCATTCATTACATCATATCAAAACCATTTTAAAAAGAAAGGTTGTCACAACTTCCCGTGGAGGGAAAAAATAGCTTTACTTATATATCCCAATAACATTTAAATGTATGCCATTTCAGAATCTGTCATTAGGTAGTACAATAGCAGATATGTTCAAAATAGTTCTTTGTTTGCATCACTTCTATATTCTGCTTAATCCGTCAAAGCTCAAAACAGATTGCCGTAAAACTTTTGATTTTTTTGTGCATGATTTCCACCCAAAGCCTCCAAAACTCTTCCTGAAATGGTATCATCAGCCTCAGACGAGCGACTCTGATTCTGCAGTAGCACTCCCTCCCTATTATTGCAAAATCTATTATTCTTGTTATGTTTTTAGCAAAATGTAAAATAGCCATTTGATTGGGTTGGGCAAAAGAGTTATGCGATCTGAAGAGAAACCAGAGTTGATTAGGTTTTCAGAGTTATTGAAGATCCCACATTTCCTTTGAGCCGAGGGGTGTCTGGAATTTCCTCCCAGGGTACAATTGTCACTACCAAAACGAAACCCACTGCATCAACACAGCCCGGGAAACAAATGCATTTTGGTCCACAACTGTAGCTGCAGTAGCTGTAATCCGATCTACGCTATAATGTTTAAAGAATGAACTCCTGGAAGACAGTCTCTGCTTTATGGAGGATGTGTTCTGCTTTGTGCCAAGAAGCAATTCCTGCACCTAAATAAGTGGGGACTGTTTTTCTGGCTCGAAGGAGCTCATAGTGTTACGGCAGAAGCAGCAACAGAGATTAACAGCTAAAGTAAGGGTGTTTTTTTTAAACAAACACCATGGCAAAATCCCATCCAACACTGCATAAATATTGCTTTAAGTTTAAATTATTCAAAGTCTTTCTGCGAGCAGGGCCATTCGATTTCAATTTTTATGAGCGTTTGTTTAGTGGTGGCAGTTAAGTGCTTTTTATATGTAGATATCATCTTCCCGGGTTTCTCTGTATGTGTTGTCTGATGTTTTGGTGCAGTTTGGTGCAGTGGTTAAGTGCGCGGACTCTGATCTGGGAGAACCGAGTTTGATTCCCTACTCCTCCTCTTACAGTTGCTGGATGACCTTGGGCAAGCCATAGTTCTGACAGAGCTGTTCTTGTAAGAGCAGCCCTCAGCAGCCTCACCTACCTCACAGGCAATGTTCCCTCTAAGCTGTGGAGCCCTGTGAGCAAAAATTCTCCTTTGTGAGCTCCTGGCATTAAGGTTGTGAGTGAGCAATTTGGCTACTGCATACATTAGTTTGCTCTGGAGCCATCCTAAATGAGCGAAGACAAAAATGTCTGAGCTGGAGGCTAAAAAACTGTGAGCTAGCTCACACTAACTCAGCTTAGAGGGAACACTGCTCACAGGGTGTCTGTCATGGGGAGGGGAAGGGAAAGGGGTTTGTAAGATGCTCTGAGACTCCGAGTGGTAATGGTATCATTAGTTGGCTCCAGAGCCAACTAATTTATGCAGCAGCCAAATTCACTGCCACAGGAAGTGGTGGGAGCTACAAGCATGGACGGCTTCAAAAGGGAATTAGATAAGCATATGGAGCAGAGGTCCATCAGTGGCTATTAGCCACAAGGTATAGCTAGGGGCTCTGGGGCAAGTGATGCTCTGTCTTCTTGGTGCTTGGGGGGGGTCAACAGTGGGAGGGCTTCTAATGTCCTGGCCCCACTGCTGGACCTCCTGATGGCACTGGTATTTCTGGCCACTGTGTGACACAGAGTGTTGGACTGGATGGGCCTTTGGCCTGATCCAACATTGGCGTCTCTTATGTTCTTATGTTCTTAAACCACTAGGCCATTCAGGTTTGACCCAGAGCATATCACTGATGAATATACAGTGGAGGTTATGGCTCAGTACTTTGTATTCAAGAGTAAAGGCAGAGTGTCCTGAGAGTGTCTCACACTGTTTGCGTTAACATTAAACAAGTAGTTGTGGGGAGGGTTAGGGACTCTATGCCCTGCTGTTGGCCACTGTGTGAGACAGGATGCTGGACTCGATGGACCACTGGTCTGACCCTGCAGGGCTTTTCTTCCGTTCTCTTCAATGTTGACGAGATTGGAAATTATTATTTTTTTTGCATGGGATTCTGCAGAAGAGATGTATCTAGCTGCGTTGTCATGGATGAATTACTTGTATAACATTTTTTTTTAACCCCACACCTTTGCTGCCAATGATCTGCAGACTCCGACGGATGACATTGAGGTGATCAACACAGAGAGAGTGGAAGCCTCCCCCGAAGCTCCTGCCAGAGACGAGGGCCGAAGCCTGGAAGCCGCAGAAACAAGGTCCAAAGGAGAGGAGAAGCCTTCCAAAACAAACCTGAGGAAATTCTTTAAGCTGGTAAGCAGGCTGCTTTTTGAACATTTATGGAAGAAGCATAAAACATGTTCCAAGATTCCGTGAGCAGCCAAGCAGTTCCGCTTATTCTGTCGGTCTCTGGCCATTTTATCCCCTCCTTCCTCCAAGGAGCTCAGTGGAGTGTCTGGGGTTCTCCGTTCTTCATTTGATCCTCACAACAACCCTGTGAGTTAGGCTGGGATGAGAAAATGGCCGGCTGAAGGTCACCTGGTGACCTTCCTGGCTGAGTGGGAATCTGAACCAGTTCTCCCGGATCCTAGTCCAACGCTTTAACCACGATTCAGTACAGTTTCTTGAGATAGCCATGGCAGTCGTTGGTGACCTGTGACTGGACCAGTGTTTGGGGTCTATATGGAGAAGCCTCCAAAACTCTTCCTGAAATGGTATCATCAGCCTCAGACGAGCGACTCTGATACTACAGTAGCACTCCCTCTCTATTATTACAAAATCTATTATTCTTGTTATGTTTTTTAGCGAACCATAAAATAGCCATTGGATTAGGCTGGGCGATGTCCCTGCCTTCAAAGAAGGGAAAGTTGTCCCCTGATGTCTGTTATGGTGGCTTCCACTGTTTAGGGGATGTGAGAGACTCTATTCTTCACTCACCCTTCTGACACAACGTCCAAGGTCAGATAGGTAACTTTGGAAATGGTCTGTTGTTATAACTCAGTGAGACTTTCAGCACCTTGAAAACCAATGGATTTATTGTGACCCAAGCTATCGTGAGTCATGGCTCACTTCATCAGATGCATGAATTCTTCTTTTTAGTTGGCAGAGCAATTTGTATCTAAAGCTACAAGCACCAGAAGGATTGGTAGGTTGGAGGAAATGTTACAAAGAGAGGTCAGAAGGCCCAGTTATTTTTACTTACTTCTCCTCAATAGCTCTTTCATAAACTAATGGCAAATCTCACAGACGTTCTTGGAGATGAGGGCACTTTAAGAATGTTCCCTATTTGGTAGTCACGTGATGGGAAAGGGAGGTTGCAAAGCACCCTGACCTAGGTGGCCCCCAGGCCTAGCCTGATCATGTCAGTTCTTAGAAGCAGGGCCGGCTGTGGTTAGCATTTGGATGGGAGACCATCAAGGAAGTCCAAGGTCACTATGCAGAACCAGGCAATGGCAAACCCCCTCTGTATGTCTCTACCCTTGAAAACCTTATTGGGTTGCCCTAAGTTGACAACAACTTGACAACACTTTCCACCAGCAGGTTGCCATTATCCTCAAATGGGGATGCTGGAGATTAAGCCTGGGCTTCATGCACTTGATGTTCCCCTATGAGCGCGAGAGTTGGCCAGGTCCCTAGCATGCCAAGCTCTGAGTCACGGGGTGATGATATCTTAGGGCAGGGACTGACGACATCACACTGAATGGCGATACTAAGGGCGGCAGCATTTCCACACACTGCTGTATGGTGTCCTGGAATGTCGTCAACAATCTTGTGACTTTGAAGAGGTGGGCCATTTACCAATCAAAAGCACTTTGCAAATAACATGGGAATCAGTTATACACTAAACATTACAATGTCGTTGAGCTGTCGATACCAGATGATTGCCTCTCTCTCCTGCAGTGTATATGTGCACTCGTCACCACATACAGGAAGTCGTATGGGCTAGCTGATGGTCCTGAGACTTCCGCCTCCTCTCCTGAGGTGGAGAATGAGCCCTCAAAATCTCAAGGCCAAAGACCTTATGGGCTCTCTTGCCCATTGACCTTTCATGCCACGCACTGGGAGAATCCTCCCAATGAGCTCTACTTGGACTTGTCTAAAGGATCTGTCCCTTCTCAGAGCTGCAGGTGGCTTAAAGGGGCATGTGTGCTGAAGAAGGGAGGAGTCCCCAACCAAATCAAAACGGGACAAGTCCAGACATCTTGTGGCCTTTTCTTACATGCCTAGAGAAATGCTGATCGCCACTTTTTTTTCCCTCCAGGCCAGTTTGGCTGGAGATCCTGGAGGTTTTTTGTCACCTTCTGGCCATGGAACAGCAGTCACTGGGGGTGTGGAGGAGGAGGTATTTGTGAATTTCCTGCATTGTGCAGGGGGTTGGACTAGATGACCTGGGAGGTCCCTTCCAACTCTATGATTCTATGAACCTCTCCAGGGTGGGAGGAGGAAGGGCTAGGCAGTCCCCGAGCATTCTCCCTTTACGAGTTCAAAAAGAGACACAGAGACCTGCCTAGAGACACCCAATTTGAACTGATTACCACAGAAGCACTGTTCCCTCTAAGCTGAGTTAGTGCGAGGTAGCTCACAGTTTTTTAGCCTCCAGCTCACAGATTTTTGTCTTAGCTCAGGAAGGAGGGCTCCAGAGCAAACTAATTTATGCAGCAGCCAAATTGCTCGCTCACAACTTTAATGCCGGTAGCTCACAAAGTAGAATTTTCGCTCACAAGACTCCACAGCTTAGAGGGGGCATTGCACAGAAGCACTCTAGAAATGCATATCATCCTTTGTTATTTTATAGTCAGTCAGAGGTGATGCAGGGGTAACCCCTTCAGAAGAGGTAAATGGCCCAGCGCCTGATCAGCAAGTAAGTGTCCGGCTCCAATCTTGCCTTGGTGATGGGCTCAGCTGTACTTGACTTTCAGAGCTTTACTCAGGGCCAGTTCTCCAGCCAAGCCACCCAAGCAACTGCTGGGGGTGGCACAGTGAGGAGGGAACTGATGTCCTCCTGGGGTTCAGCTCTCTCCGCGGTATCCGTGGCACAGGAGGGGAGCGGCGTCACCTCCTGGGCCCGTACCCCTGCCGACGAGGTCCAAATCAGCGGACTGTGCAGACCGGCCCAGTAGTGGCAGGTTCAACAGGCGCTGACATTTGTGGTGACCATCTACCTAGAACCGACCCTGCCTTCGCTTTGTTTTCTTATGATAAGACTGTCTCCGTTTCATAAAATACTCCGACCTGTTGTATTTCATTCATTCTTTGTTTCCTAATGATGTTTGGATTCATCGTGGCTCTGTTAGGTTGGGGGGTGGGTGGGGTGAAAGCTCATCTCTAAAATTAGTAAGCTAAGAATTGTTCCACTACAGTCTTCGTACACTGGGCCAATCAGTCAGAACTCTGATCTCTCCAGTATAAAATGTGGGGCACATAAGAAGTAGGCTTGTCATTATTATTGTTATAGCATCACCTCGTTTTGTGTGATGTAACACCCAAAATGCAGCCCCGGTTCCTCGGGCTGAGCCCTCTACATTGCTTGGACAAGGTTCAAGCCCAGCCCCTTAAAGACCAGCAAGATTTCCAGGGTAGAAAGCTGTCAAGAGTCAACACTCCTTCATCAGATAGCACAAGGGAATTCTCAAAAGCTTATACTCCAGATATCTTGTTGGTCTTTGTGCCACTGGACTCAAATCTAGCTCTCCTACTGCAGACCAGCATGGCTACCCACCTGAAATTAAGTTGCCCGCATAAGAGGTCACGTGCCTATGGGTTGATCTCCATGCACCAGAGTGCACAGAATGGGGTCTACAGACCCTACCTGTGAACTCTTCCACAGTCATACATCATTTGTGTGTAATGTTACCATTCCGGGTCGGGCTGTGACGTGGCGCAGAAGAACAGCTAGATTCGAGTCCAGTGGCACCTTAGAAACCGAAAGGGGTTTGTGGGGTTTTTTTGGGGGGGTGGTATAAGCTCTCAAGGAGCTGCGGTGGCTCAAGTGGTTAAGACGCTGAACTGCAGGCTGTGGAAGGTCAGTAGTTCAGCAGTTCGAGACCCGAGTGTGCTGCATGACGGAGTGAGCTCCCGTCTCTAGTTCCAGCTCCTGCCAACCTAGCAGTTCGAAAGCAAGAAATTTCAAGTAGATAAATAGGTACCACTTCGGTGGGAAGGTAACAGCGTTCCGTGCGCCTTGGTGTGTAGTCGTGCCGGCCACATGACCACGGAAACGTCTTCGGACAGCACTGGCTCTTCGGCTTTGAAACGGAGATAAGCAACCCTAGAGTCGGATTCGACTGGCTTTCGAGCAAGGGAACCTTTACCTTTACTTTATAAGCTCTCAAGAGTCAAAGCTCCCTTTGTGGTGCACAAGGAGTTTCAACCCCTTCCCCATTCGATAGCAGTCCGGGGAAAGAACTATTTGGCCCGTAGCCAAAGACCGTGTGGCGGGCATGCCTGCGGCTGCTAGTTTTCTTCAAAGGAAGAGCTGAGTACAATGCATATTTCATTTTTAGCATCGAGTTTTGCACAGGTGGCACGGATGAGCAGCCTGTTCAGCCGACTGGTCCCTTTGCAGTAGCTTTGCAAAGGAGCCCTTGAACTGGCACGAGGCCCTAACAGGGGAACACCACCACCACCCCCATTAGCATGGCCCATTTCCAACTTCAGGACTTGCAACCCTTCCCAGTTGCTAAGGGAAACCCTCCCTAATCACTGCCGTTTAACCTTACAGTGACAACGGGGTAGGCAAGTGAAGAAGGGGAAGAGGTCACTGAACAGCAGTCGAATCTGTTTAGTGTCCCATTCTGGAGCATTCCATTTGGTGTGGGGCCAGCCCCCTCTCCCGTCTCATTTGCTGGGTCTTTGCTAAAATGTCATAAATCAAAGATTTCAGGAGCTTGACTGACTCAGCTCTGAAGTCAGAGAGAATCTTTCCTTCAGCCTCTGGGGCTGACGTGAGAAGAAATCCATAGGAAAAACATGTCATCCTGTTAATCTGGTTTCCCTTGCTCGGGAAGCACTGACTGCTTATGAGCTGAGACAGGCTGTCAGGTCTAGATCTCCCGTTAACAATAAGAGGGATGAACGTATGGTTCATTATTTATAGCTTTCATTTTGTATTTCCCGATCTCGCTTCCATCAATATTAAAAGTGTCAATTTCAGCCTTTAAAACATTGATATGGAAATGTCTCACAGATTATCTACCTATATTGTTTTTCCTGATATTCTGGGGAAAACCTACTGGTACTCTGGCTGATACATTGGCAAAATGACATCCTGAACATATGACTCCAGTTGAAGCTTTTCTTGACATCCCCATTATCTTCAGCTGAAATAAGAGACATGCTGAAATTAACTGTAATTAATGTCACTGTGAGGCAGGAAAGGGGGCACGGGTGGGGAGACTTTGGTCCCTTCCACATTTGCCTGCCACTCCGGATTTTTTCAGTGTTTGAGTTGAGGCAATTTAAGTCCAGGGCAAAGCAGCATCCAAATAACCCGGGGCAACAGCAAGCTGAAACTGGGCTGCCCACTGAATGGAGGGAATGTACAACATAAACATAAGAACATAAGAGAAGCCAATGTTGGATCAGGCCAAAGGCCCATCCAGTCCAACACTCTGTGTCACACAGTGGCCAGAAATACCAGTGCCATCAGGAGGTCCACCAGTGGGGCCAGGACATTAGAAGCCCTCCCACTGTTGACCCCCCCCCAAGCACCAAGATGACAGAGCATCACTTGCCCCAGAGTCCCTATCTATACCTTGTGGCTAATAGCCACTGATGGACCTCTGCTCCATATGCTTATCTAATTCCCTTTTGAAGCCGTCCATGCTTGTAGCCATGTAATGCAGAATGGGGGGTGGGGGGAACCAGAATTAAAAGGTTGAACTTGATTTTAGCGCAGAATGGGGGGAAAATCTGGATTAAAAAGAAGGTTGAATTTGATTTTAGTGCAGAATTGCTTGGAGGACACAGCGGTGAACATGGATTAAAAGGAGAGCGCAGAAAGGGTCTTTGCCCATTTCCACAGGAGTGAAATTCCCTGCACTAACATTTTTCAAACTGTGCGTTATGTGAAATTTCCACAGTAGTTGTTTTCCTCACCAGGCACAGACTCAAAGTGTTTTCCTTCTTACACCATATTTTTGGAACTCACTAAAACTGGGGATTACAGAAATGCAGGGTAAAAAGGAGAAAACTTCTGCACTGCTCCTGGTGAGGAAAAATCTACTGCGGAAGGTTTTGCATAATGCGCAGTTTTAAAAACATCAATGCGGGGAATTTCACTACTGTGGAAATGGCAGTTTTAAAAACATCAATGCGGGGAATTTCACTACTGTGGAAATGGTCTTTGCATGCCAGAGAGGAAGGGCTCAGAAGAGGGAACTCCGAGGCCCGTTCTGAACCTCCTAACCAACATTTGAACTTTAGTCAAAACTTTGACCAAAATAACTGTTCATTTTGTAGCTAGCAATGCTGCACATTAAAGAAGGACTGGTTTGGAGGTACCAATTGGAGGAAATTTTCATTACCCATAGCTTTTAATGAATTCACTGTCCATGCAGACTCCCAAAGAGGGTTGTGCAGTCTATAATTTTTTATCAAACCAGATGTTTTATACACCAAGGAATGGTGCTCTAGCAAATCAACAGTGTAGGTTTATGTAGAGTTGCTTCAGTTTATTCTGACTGATTTCAGTGAGCTTAGATTGAGCTGTAAAACTGCCCTGACCTGGATAGACCAGGTTAGCCCAATTTTGACAAATCTTGGAAGCTAAGCAAGGTCAGCCCTGGCTAGTATTTGGATGGGAGACCAGTGAGGAAGTCAAGGGACCCCCGGGTTTGCAGAACTGTTTTCTGTCAGTGTGGCCCCAATCTATGGATTTAAGTATCCACAGATGGGCTCACACTATTAGATATAAGATATGATGATAATAAAATGGAATGTTTGATGTTTTCCCATACACATCTCATTTCTATAAATACTGAGAGTCGCGCCAGCTAAGAGCCACTTTTGGAGAGTCTGTGACTTGGACCCAGTGCAGTGTTTCCATGGGTGGAAGGATTTCCATCCACAGACCGTCTTTCTTGCCACTCAGTTCCCATCATAGCCTGAAGCACTCCAATTTGTGCTACAGTGGGACTGGGGAGGAAGGAAACTCACAGTATGCAAATGGAAGATCCTTCTACCCATGGAAATGCTGGACAGGATCCACAACGACTTGCTTCTCGGTGCCTGACTTGGACGTGACATCCAGGACTGGTGGATACAGACTGGAGTGTGGGAAGGGATAAATAATAATTAGTAGGGCCAAAACAATTCACACTGCTATCTTGGAATGCAGAAATACTAACAGTGCCACTCGTTTTCTCGTTCTTTCGGAAACTGTATCACTGTAAATCTTGTAAACCTTAAGCTCTGTCCGTGTCCTGCTCTTTTTTTTCTTCCTTTCTTTGGTGTAATAAATTGCTTGGTAATAGTTGTTGCTTTAAGGGAGGGGGGGAATCACATTTTCTCTGTTTGCAATTCTATGCAGACTGTTCTGTGGCACTGGATTTCCTTGATCAGATCATGGCTTGTCAATCTTCTGGTGGAGTATTTTTAATCTTACACAGGGGGAAATCTGTTCAGATCACTTTTCCTTTCTGTAACTTGGTGCTGTGTATCCGCTGTCCTTCGAATCTCTTCCTTCCCCGCCCTCCTCTGTTTTGGTTTCTTGCTTCTTGGCTTGGGATGAGAAGAACATTGTTATACCATTTTGGTGATGGTGTTGCATGAATGTGGAAAACGTCCCTGCTTGGGATCCTATGAAGGAGCTCCATATGCATTAGATAGTCTCCGCCGCAGAGCGCATTTCCTCTTGCGTGAGCACGTCTGTTCGTGCCAGGCTGGTTGGAAACAATTGATCTTGCTCAGATGGAAGTCCTAGCGCAAGAGGAAGCATGCTGTGCAGCAGAGACAATCTATCATGTGCCAAACTGGTTCATAGGATCCAAGCTTCTATCTTGAGGGGTGTGTCCAGATGGCTACCTCCTGGGCTCCGGGTTGGTCCTGAGCAACATGCTCTGAGGAATAGGGGAGGTTGTCTCGGAGTATCTTTTCCCCAAGGAAGACTGGTGCTTGAAGTCAGTCAAGATCAGTGCATACCCGATGCTTGTCCCTTACCACTGGCATTGGGGTGGGCATCCTGTACAGCTGTCAAATGGAAGCTGGCATGGTGTAATCCTCAATCGTGATCAAGGAAGTCCCCCATTCAAATTTAATCTCAGCCTTTGTATTCTTAAACGAGACCCTATCTCAGTGACCCATCTGTAGTATGGAACAGATGGAGTTGCTGTATTGTGGGTCTCTTAAGGCTAATTGTGGAGAGAATGCGTGTGAGGTGATTTGGACACTCTAAAGCATTTATATCCACAAACACGTGAAGCTGTCCTACGCTGAGACCTTTGGTCTATCAAAATCAGTATTGTCTGCTCTGGCTGGCTGAGGCTCTCCAGGGTTTCAAGAAGGGGTCTTTCCCATCATCTTTCTCTGATCTGTTTAACTGAAGATGCCAGGGATTGAACCTGGGAACTTATGCATGCCAAGCAGATGCTCTGCTACTGAGCCACGGCCCCACCCCAGGAACAACAACCATAACTATTGTTATTTGTCATCATCCATACTATAAGGAAATGCTAAAATAGCACAGTCAGCTGCCCAGATAAGAGCCTTCTGGACATGCCCTAGGTCAACTGTCTTTTTTTCCTTCTTTTTTCATTGTGCAGGAAGAAATAAGAGAAATAAAGAAATGTGTATAAAGAAATGCTCTGCAGATGGTGCAGGTTTCATTCACACCAGCAACCCCAGCCATTGTGTGAGGGGCTACTCGTGTGAGAAAGGGCAGCAGGATAAACTCCTTTTTCATATGTGGTGCAACTTGATCCTCTACACATTGACTTAGAAGTCAGTCCCAGAGAATTCAGCGGGGCTCACATCCAAGTTCAACCCGTTCAGGATCAACACTTCAGACATACTGGATAATGTGGTTTCCACAGGGCTGGTACTCTAGCCGTGCCCCCTAAACAATGGCTTGGGGTGGCACAATAAGGTTGGGGGCAGGCGGATACAACCAGGGGGGTCAGATTGCTGCTAATCATCAACAGAGCAGGAGAAGATGGGCACTGCCTCCAGACTCACGCTGCCCCGGCCTGTGTCTGAGCCGAGCCCCAGAGACACAGGGACTCAGCTCAGATATGGGCATTGGCAACATGGAGGGAGACAATAGGTCAATCTTGCTTAGGGAACACAAAATATTTTGGGACCAGCCTTGGGTTTCCACCCAGTTGATGTCAAGGGGCCAAACTTTAATTTGCTTAACTGGGGATCCTCCTGCCAAATCAAATGCATTTCTGACTCTAAAAAAAAATAACTACTGTTTGAAACTGCTTTAGACACTGGACTTCCCAGACAGGCCCTTTGCCCAGGCTGAGAGCAGAGAACCTGCAGGTGCGCGGAGCAAAGAGAGCTCAACGGAGACACTGAACGTGCCGAAAGGGAGCAAACTGGAAGTCAGCGAGCAGCAAGAACCCCGGGAGCAAGAAAGAGCCGAGACGGACTCCCTTCGGAACGGAGGGGACGCAGCAAAGGAGAACACTCCCAAGAGGATAGACAAGCGACAGTCGTTCGGAGGGTTTTTTAAGGGCCTTGTACGTTACCTTTCATCTTTCTTTCACGATCTGCACGTAGCCGCAGTGCCGGGAACCTTTCTTGTGTGGGCAAGGCAGGGCACTGGGATCCATTCCTTATGCCGGTGTAGCGGCAGAAGTGTTACACGTGTGTTATAGTATTTTCTGCCCGGCAAGTCAACAACAACAACAAAATATTTCTGTTGCTGTCAGAAATATGCATCTACCAGGTTCGTCCTCCTGCAGGATTTTCTAATAAACAGCTCTCTTGGGTTGCCTCACCATTAGAGTTATCTGCCTGCCGGGTTGGTATGCAGGTATGGATCTCAGAGAATTGTTTTTTCCCCTCTGAAAATATTGATTGGGATTCGAATGCATTGCCCTGGTGATCAAGAACAGGCTCATGGCCGCTGGTAGCAACTTTCTGTGTTTTGCCGGATATATTTGTATAAAGTTAAGATGGGACCAGATAGATCTGTTTCGTGGGTTACTCCCTGGAACTCACAGAATGGTATTAATTGCGACCATTTTCACCCTATAACTGAAGGTGAGATGCTTTTGAATATGGACAGGAAACTTCTACTGATTTTCACTTTTGTAGAAAAATACATGAGTCTCTTGTCTAGTGGGAAGATCAGCATGCAGGTAATAGCTGGTATAAAGGTAAAGGTTTCCCTTGCTCGAAAGCTGGTCAAATCCGACTCTAGGGGGCGGTGCTCATCTCTGTTTCCCAGCTGAAGAACCAGCGCTGTCCGAAGACATTTCTATGGTCATGTGACTGGCATGTCTAAACACCAATGCGCACAGCATGCTGTTACCTTCCCACCGAAGCGGTACCTATTTATCTACTTGGAATTCCTTGCTTTTGAACTGCTAGGTTGGCAGGAGCTGGGGCCAGAGACGGGAGCTCACTCCATCATGCGGCATTCGGGTCTCGAACAGCCGAACTACAGACCTTCCGGTCTGCAGCTCAGCATCTTAACCTCTAAGCCACTGCTGCCTAATAGCTGGTATAGATATCTTTTATGAAACTTGAAGGCCTATTCCTTTTCCAATTAGTACTTCCAAGTTTTTTTTAAGTAACATAGCCTGTTCCATTCACATGCTCTTTTCTCACTTGACAAAAAGTGCAAGGCATTCAGTACCATGCTTCTTTCTTCAGAAGGGTTGTGGTTTTTAAGGCAAAGCGCAGCTACAGTGAGGTATATGAGTGAGGCTACTTAGCCCTTCTTGATGTTTAGTTGCTCACTTCCCCACCATGGAAACAGATCAAGACGGGTAGCCGTGTTAGTCTGTCTGTAGCAGTAGAAAAGAGTAAGAGTCCAGTAGCACCTCAGAGACTGGCAAAACTATGAGTCACTGCTCACTTCTTCAGATACAGCGAAGATGGGAGTCCACCTGTCTGAAATCACCCCACTTGCCAATAAACAGGACAGATGGACTCCCATCCTTGCTGTATCTGAAGAAGTGAGTCATCCCCTCCCACAAATGTTGCTAGTCTTTAAGGTGCTACTGGACTCCTGCTCTTTTCTACCTCCCCACCCTCACTGCTTCCTTTCTTGCAAATAAGAAGATATGTTGGCCGTGACAGCATTTCCTTAAAAAGTAAGGATCGGCACAGAACCACTCCAGACATCTGAGGTCTTGAATATCAGGACTTCACATTTAAGAAATAAACTCTGATCAGCCTTCTGTTTAGGAATACGGTAAAGTTACATGGGGGATCTACATGAATGGGGTGGGAATCCTTTCTAAATATGGGTTCAGATGCTCGAAGTTCAGCTCAGTGCTATCAATGAAGAAACTGGTCTCCTTTAAGAGCGTTTTTCTGCCTAAGAATTAGCTTTCTTGACTGTAGATGTCATCACCCCCACCTGCCGGCTTGTTCTCAGAATTGTTGCTTAGGCTGGCAGGAGTGATTAACTTGCAGCGGCTGAGAACTGTCATCTAAAGTGGTTGACAGCTTGCACTTTAGAGATCTATCCTGGTAACAGCTCTCTGTCGGCTAGATGGTTAATAGGCTAAGCTGAATCATCCTCCTCAGAATTCTGGCTTTTCTTTCTGCACAGAGGCTGAGGCCTTCCCCCTGATGTTGCCTTCCTGGCTCTGGGATTCAGAGGTTCACTGCCTCAGTCTGAATTAGGGCTGCCAAGCCGCGGCGGGGGATCCGTGCGTCTTCACAGGATCCCTGCCGTGGGGGACAGCGATACGCGTTGCACCGCTGTTGGCAGGATGTGACGCTACGCGTCGCTCTGGCAACGGAACTCCAAACAGCCCCGTTGCCAGAGCGATGCGTAGCGTCA